TATATATATATAATGTGTGTGTGTTAGCTCCCATAACTAATGAGGATATCCGTGTTAGTTAGCATACAAGCTAATATTATTAGCATTAGCTCTTAACCTGTTAATTAGCTCAGGATGATGCCATATATAGACTAGTTTGTGTGTGTGTGTGTGTGCGTGCGTGCGTGTGTGTGTGAAATTAGAGCTTTTATCTGAGTTTTTTCATTTCTGATCTCGGGACTTTTCAGTAAACGATGTTACGTCTGAGAGGTGATTTTTGTTGAATAAAAGTGATTTTATCTGTATCTGTGGGACGTTGTTATAGATAATAACACTTTATAAAGAGTATTTTTATTTTAATGATCCACATGAACAACATGGCTGTAAAAGGTAAAATAAATTCCGGGTCTCGGCTGGTTTCAGTGGACAGTAAACAGAAATGTGTGGGAGGTAATCATTTCTGCTGTCGCCTCGTTAACAGAGAAGAGATAATTGCGTCTCATTTTCTGCTCGTTACTCAGAAAGAGGTTCTGTCCTCCGTTAAAGCGTCTCTTTCTGCCGCCTCTCAGCACCGTAATCTGCCGTCCCCATTCTGCCCCGAGGTCCGATTCAGGCCCGGATTGTGTTTCTGCTGTGGGAGCAGAGTCTCTGAGAACACTGCTGCTGTCGGCTCCAGTTACCAGACCAAGACAAACAGGAGTCTTCTTTTACACAGAGACATGTCCAGCGTTGGACAATGAGGACGACTCGTCTCCCTCAGCTCCTTCATGTGTCTTTTTATCTGATATGTTGAGACAGTGATAACTTCTGAGACTGTAAATCCAAACAGAGATGAATGTAGAGCAYTTAAAAACATTTAAAGTTGTCAGAAGGTTATATCATCACTTAAATTTGGTTAAATGTCCCTGAGTGTCCCCTGGAGGTTGACACTGGGTCTTTGAAGGCTTATTTCAGGGATCTCAGAGTAGATGTAACATTAGACATTATTAGTTAACATACAGTGTATTAACGGAATGTATAAACAGTATATGTGTGTGTGTGTGTGTGTGTGTGTGTGTATATATATATAT